GTATATAAATTAAACTTATTCTTTTCAGAGTTTAAATGTCCCTCAAATAAGTATCACAAGAACAATTAAGTTTTTTCTTACAATTCAAGAAAAAAGTCAAAAAATAAAAATATTGTAAAATATTATTTATTGAGATTTATTCTGTTGAAATTTGTATAAATTATTATAATTTATTATCTCACAATATTTATCATGTTAAGATTTAAGAAATATTTTGTATTCATTAGTAATTATTAGAATATTCATTAATTATTATTAGGATTCATAAGCTTTTTATATGAATAGATAAATACATTTTTTTCAAGTCTCATTTCTTTCTCTCATGACTTCTTTCATGATATCAAAATGAAGTTAATAAGCTTTTATACTTTGTTTGGGCTAAATAAATTTGTAAGATATATTTTTTTATGTGATATAATATTAATAACTTGTCAATATTGAATTGAAGGAACAAATTGTTAAAAAATTAAATAAGTTGGGTTTTAAAAATTGATAACTTTTTTATGTATGAACAAATCATATTCGAATATTTACAAGTAATTATTTGGATATTAACAAAAGTATGTCCATGATTAACCAAAGCCTACAAAATTCTTGAAAAATAAATTTATAAGATACATATTTTTTTATTTGTCATAATTGAATGAAGTAAGTTGCTGAAAAAGTGAACAAATTGGGGTTTAAAAATTGACAGCTTTTTCTAAAATTTACAAGCAATTGTTTGGGTATTAACAACAATGTATCCATAATTAATATAAATTCACATAAATACTTGAACAAAAAAATTATAATTTATAAATATATATATTGCAATATATAATTAAAATGTTTTGGTGGTTCGGTGGTTTTTTTTTTTTTTTACTGAACAACCAATGGGTTAAATATTCAAGTCCCCCATCCCACTGGCGAACGTTGATAGTGACGTTTGTTTTTTTTAAAAAAAAAAGATTCAAGGGCATTATAAGCCTATGGATTATTTATCAAACATCAATAATCCTTACTTCTTGGATTTTCTACTTTTAATTTTTTAAAACTTTGACGAGATATTATTTTGAAACATCATTCTTAATTTCATTACTGCAAAAGACTTGCATTTTTATAGGTGAATTTTATTAAAAAAAATGAGAAGAAGAAAAAGAAACAACTCCATTCTCTCTTTCCTCGCCTCTTCTTCTTCCTCCTTCTTCATCACAACGCCATCGGTGAGAGAGAATAGAGTACCAAACAGAACCAGCCGACCAAGGACACAAAAATCAATTAATTGAACTAAAAGAAAAATCTATCTCTTAGGTAGTAGGAATGGTCCAGATTAAGATCAAGTCAAATATTTAATTTTTAGAAAGAAACTCACTTACATTAAACTGGGAATAAGATTTAAGTTTCTTGGTTACTTGGGAATAAGGGCACTATCTGGGAATCAGACCTTTAAGTCAGATTTAAAGCAGAATTATCTGCCATTAACCATAATTATAATTTCTTGCAGTACAGAAACTTCTCTCATTTTGTGATCTTCAAAACCAGAGTTCAATAGGTAATACTAATTGGACAAGTTTTTTATGAGGTATAGAGAAATGAATTACACTATCCATAATTTGGTAATATTATGATTTGTTAACTAATTTATGTTTGTTTAAAAAAATTCACATCTTTTCAATTATATCCTTGGATGGAATGATTAGCTCTTGCAAGTACACGATATTGATGCAGTAATAATTTCCAAAGTATTCTAAGAGTCAAACCCTGAGAAAGATAGTTATCTTTATTATTTAATAAAACAGATAAGCATTTTGAAAAGAGATTTAAATTAAATAATTAAATAATGCAATTAAATAAGAAAACAATAAATGCAAATGAGAAGATGAATCAACTAGTCAATCAAATGCCAGGGATCAAGATTCATCTATCAAGATGGATTATTCTAATTCAATTAATTATCTTCCCTTCTTTGACAGTGACGATCATTTCTAAACTGTCCCAATTACCTTCAAGTAGGTTAGGATGTATTTAATTAGAGTTAAATCTAGCTCCCATTGAATTCTACTCTTTAACCAAACTATAAAGCTATGATCTAAGCTATCACAAACTTTTAAATTATTTACAATTTTGATATCTGTATATATCTCTCTAGATCTAAGTAAGTTTTTCACCTTCTAGTTCATTAAACGACCTAAGAAGAGATTATATACTGGCCACATATATAAAAAGTGAATAAAACAAGAGATAAATATAAAAGTAAACATAAATTCTCATGGATAATAATTATTGTTCAATGAGAAAGTTAATCAAAACCAAATAAAGAACAAGCTCAATCCCAGTCAAGCTATTCCTTACCTTGACCAGGAGTTTAGCAAGAACTCATAGAGTTAAAACTACAATCCCAAATAAAAGACATAAAAAGAATCTAAAGAAGAAAAGAAGAGAGAAATCTCTCAACTCGAAAGACTCATTTAGACTCTGCAGTATGCCTCCTAGCTTTCAAATGTGAGATTAGATGCCCATCTCTTGATAGAGAGAAGTATTCATAGTTAAAGTGAAGCTTTTTTTTCCTTTCCTAGTTGACGTGGGACTCCAATATATAAATTATAATATGATAGAAAATCACATCCAAACACAAGATCTTCTACTCTTGAAAATCTAGTCCAGAATGCACGCCTCCTTGTTGATCTTATCTTCTCTAAATCTCCAGCCTAATAATTGATATATATATATATATATATATTTGTTTTGATAGCCATGGATATGCTGCTTCTTCTTTGTGTTTATCTATATATATATATATCTTTTCACTCTTTTCCTTTAATTTACTTTATTGTTTTCCTGCAAAACATAAAAACAAAAAAATATGAGTAGATTTTGACATTTTGTAAAAAAGATTTCTATTTATCTTATAATTAAGTGATAAGAAAAAAAATATAAATATCAATCAAAAGGTTATGAAATCTTAATAAATTTAATCAAATATAAACCAAAAATCAATACCTATTTAACTATATAATATATATATATATATATGCACTTATCATGGAATAAATATAACATTTGACTTGTTTAAAATATCCTCATTAATTATTATTTGAGGGGAAAATAATAAAGTTAGGTTATAATTAGAAATACACACACACAAAACCTACCAAATTACTTATATTTTGGACCAAGTAAAGCTTTTACAAAACATTTTATATTGTGGTTTGGAGGGAGCAAGAATGTTAATATTGAATAAATACTTATAAGACAAATATACATATGATTAACAAATATATAACACAACTTAACAAGTAAGTCCTACTTTTAATAACATACTCCTTTCGTTAAAAAATGTAAGACATTTTTTGAAAGGTTGCATGTTAAGAAATGTAAGGCATTTTTAGCCTTTTAAGGTATAATTATTGTCTTCTTTTCAAAAATACCTCTATTGAATAAATCACTTTATATTAATTTTAAGGTGCAACACCTTATTAAATAAGGGTAAATATAAAAAAATAAAGTTAGCTTAGAGACAAGTAACTACTTTATTGGGAGTGACATTTAGTGGAAGAAGTTTAAGCAATACCACGAATTTAGTTTCAAAGCTTATGTTTCAAGTACTAAAATCTTATCATTTAAATATCACTTCGACTTTTTCTTTTAATTTGTTACTTTAACATTGAATTAATAATATAATTATAGTTATTAATTAAAAAATTAAACTTGATGCTTGCGATATAAAAAAAAGTAACTAAATTAATTATTCTTTAAAGATATTTAATAATCTACCTGACATATTTCTTAAAGAATATGTTTAACTCTTCCAAAACGCACCACCTATATATATACACGATAAGGTGGTCCATTTTTTTTTTTAAAGACCTTATATCACCCAGTATTTTACTTTTTTTTTTTTTTAACTTATGGACTTAAATTGCAAACCCTCCATATGTGGGGGGGACTACACGGGTGTTAGGGGAAATTGGGAATATAGACAGTGTAAACTCAAGCACATTAAGGAATATTTCCTTTTTTTTTACAATAAAAAGAATATTTTCTTCTAGGATAATCAAACTTTCAGTCTCTTAAGTTTGTTCAAATTATTAATTTGGTCTCTTATATTTTCTTAAATCACTAGGGTTAAAGGACAATTTGACTCCTAAACTATAGATTCAGGAGCATTTAAGACCCTAAACTTATTTTTTTGTGTAATGTTTTTGCTCCACTTTTGAAAATAGTGCCATATAACTCCTATCATTAACAAAAGTTAATTTTGATTGCTAGTGACCAATGAATGATAAAAAGGACCAAGAAAATTATAGAGAATGACAAATTTTTTTTTTTTAAAAAAAGGATTAAGAATGTGAAAAGGCTCTATATATACAAGACATATACCAACGCAATGATAGTAGCTCAATCATTTGATATCTCATTTGATTAAACAATGACTTCTCTCATCTCTAAGTCTCTCTTTCTTCTTGTGCTCCTCTTCTTTTCCAACATATGCCTCTCCTTCAGTATTCCTAGTTAGTACCCCATTCTAAGTGATGACGATGTTGACGAATTAGACAAATTCACTTCAGAGGAAGACATTCGTGAACTATTCCGAATGTGGCAGAAGAAATACGAACGAGAATACGAGTCAGGGGATGAGAAGGAAAACAGATTTGAGATTTTCAAAAGCAATTTCAAGTATATCATGACGAAGAATGCCAAGACAACATCCTACCGTTTGGGTTTGAATCAGTTCTCAGATTTGACTTTCGAGGAATTCAGCAAAACATACTTGGGTCATCAGCAACCCATAATTGAAGACAACATCGACAATGATGGGAACATGGAATCCCACAATGATTTCTGTCCAGATGCACCTCCTTCCATTGATTGGAGAGTCTTCGGAGCTGTAACTCCTGTTAAAAACTAAGGCAAGTGTGGTAAGTGTCACTCAGAGAACCTAATCCTTTACGTATCATTTTGATGGTTGAATTTGGATTTTAGATTTAAAATCTGGCAGAATGACAATAAAGTCCCATAACATGGAATTTATGACAGGTAGATCCCTAACAAAATTTATTAAAAAATAAATTGCAAATATTGATTTAAACAGTTGTAGACAAGAACTGCAAACTGTAAGTTGTATTTAGAATTTATATGCCTTATTTGAAATTAGAACTCCTGAATTTATAACTATCTGGTTTGATATTTATAACTCCTAAATTAACGTGTGTATGTGTAGGAAGCTGTTGGGCATTCTCTACTGCAGGAGCCATTGAAGGAATACATAAAATAGCCACAGGTAACCTTGTCAGCGTCTCCGAACAACAACTTATGTCTTGCGAGCCATATAACTTAGGCTGTAAAAAGGGAGGGTGGTACACAAGAGGATTTGAATATGTCATACAAAATGGAGGCATTGCCACAGAAAAAGATTACCCATATACAGAAAAAGATGGTACATGTGATCACGAAAAGGTCAGTGTTAATTAATTACTCCTGCTTCTTCTCCTACAAAATCTTTATTTGTGTCTTCTTGCCTGATTCTGGTTTAATTTGCTTCTTCTTCATCTTCTTTTTCTTCTTTCTTATGAAACAGGAAAAATTGATAGCTGCTACTATTGATGGCTATGTAAATAAGACATACAGATCAGAAAGTGCTCTCTTCTGTGCCGCTGCTAAGCAGCCAGTCAGTATTTCTGTCAATGTTACAAGAGATTTCTCGTACTACCAGCAAGTAAGTCATGAATAATCTCCATGACGTCTAATATGCATATTTCCATTAAGAGGAGTTATATTAATTTCTTGTTGAAGTCCAAAATGATACATGTTAAACGGGTCACAACTAAATTTGTATGAAGCTAATTATGAGTTAATGGTCATCATTCTATACTTTCAACATGAAAAAGATTCCTATTATAAAACTTAAATATAAAAATATTTTAAAAAGAAAATATTGATTTGATCTTTTATATTTTCTTAAATTATCATGCAATTTTTTTAAATTTTAAAATAATATTTGACTCTCAAAATAATCTATTGTGTAAAGTATATTGATGACTTGGTATGTATATGTAGTTAAATAAGAGAAAATTAACCCTCAAAATCAGTTTAATTTCTATCAATAATCCATTACACTATATTTTGTTCTCTTGTTTTTTTTAAAAATTTTAGAGTTCATTTTTTTCTAACTAAATAATTACAATTTTTTCATTAAAATCTGCATGATTGCAATCAATATTTTGTTATCTATATACATCAGTAAATTTTAACAATATTACTTCCTATTTAAATAGTAAGAACTAAATTGATAGTCAAGGTAAATTTAAATAACTAAATCAAAAAAAAAATAAAACTTAAAAGAATAAATCGATAATTGAGACAAACTTAGAAAATTAAAAGTTACATTATTGCAAAGAAATATTTTATACATGTCTTTGAAATCAGCAAAGATCCCATATTTCACTATTTATCATCCTGTTTCCTCATTGAAAGCTGAAGTTGCTTTCTTTGAACATGCATGGGTAGGGAATCTTTGATGATAGCATCATCCGCGAAGAACGACCATGTAAAGTTAATCATGCTGTGTTGCTCGTTGGATATGATTCAATTTTCGGGTAACGTTACTGGATTGTGAAGAACTCGTGGGGATACACATGGGGACAAGATGGCTACATCTTCATCAGGAGAAACCCTAATGTCCCTGATGGAGTATCCAACATAAATTGCTTTGCTGCTTACCCGACCAAAGGTTTTGAGCTATCACTTGATTCTGCTATATGAAGCAGCTTGGCGCAATTCTATATGATAAAGCCACTTTATATGTCTAGCTAGCTACAAGTGTCTTCGACATGAATAAATGGCATATCACTTGCCATATTTGAATAAAGGTTAATCAACTCTATTATATATGTAAGCTTTGAGAATAAATGCTCTATTTGTGATAGAGCTTTGCTTGAAACTTTTGTGTTATTTCTAATAAAAAACTTGTGTCCCTCAATACTGTCATGGATCTGGTTTGTACACGGCTACATAACAATAGCATAATCCAGTAACTAGCTTGTAAGTTATGGATAAGCAATTCTTGCTTCAAAAAATATCATGGAAGCTTACTACTATATACCAATATAGAGAGTTACAGTAACTAGCCTATATGCTTGCGTTTGCAGAGGGACACAACAAATCTTACAGATCTAAACGAAGTTTCATGCTGCAATGTTTTACCAAGTCATGCTTGAACAAACTTATTAAGCTTTTAAGATATCTTAGATAGGGAACGCAGACATTCATAATTACACATGTTAAATTACAAACATTCATATTCCTAGCAAGTAAAAAGTAATAACCTTGTTTTTATTTGATACATGGGTTAAATATGTATAGTTCTTGGCTACTATCTAAAGTGAGTGACTAATTCAGATTCAAGCAATATCATGTCTAGATAGGGGGAGATCCCGTATAGCTTTTTCATCAACAAGGTTCTAATTTTCAACCTTTTTAAATGCAAATTAGTCATTTAATTACCATTTAATTATTCAACCTTGGAGATTGATCATATGAATGAAAAAACAAAATATAGCTACACTACCAAAAAAATATTGGCAGCAACTTTTAGTGATGACAAAAAAAATCACCGCTAAAAGTTTACTTTTGGTGAGGACAATTAGAAGTCACCACTAAAAGTCAACATCTGGTAGCGACATTGTGTTGCTATTAAAATTCACCATCAAAAGTAGATTTTTAATAGTAACTTTTAAATATGGCTGCTGAAGGCTCCCTTTTAGCGTCAATAGTTTGTCATCATCAAAAGTATTTTTATAAAAAATAATTAAAAATTAAAAATAATTTATACAATTAATTTCTGTGTTTTCATAAAAAATAATTAAAAATAAAAATAATTTATGTGATTACTTTTAGTGGTGACAGTTTGTCACCGCTAGAAGTATCTTTATAAAAAAATTAAAAAATTAAAAATAATTTATATAATTACTTTTAGCAGCAACAGTTTGTTGCCGTCAAAAGTATTTTCATAAAAAATAATAAAAAATTAAAAATAATTTATACAATTACTTATAGCGGCAACAAACTGTCGCTGTCAAAATATTTTCATAAAAATTAATTAAATGAATCAAAGTTCTATTTGTACTGTAACTTGTGAACTTGAAATCAAATGACGCAAAGATTCGCTTGCATATTGTTCATGTTATCTCTAGTATGAAAAAAAAAAAAGTGAAGTCATCATCGGCAATAGATAAAGACAATCACACTACTATATAAAATATACATTTTACACCATGATTTTATACAGGTTAAAAATAAAACAGTGAAAGAAATGTGACAAGTGATAAATTTGTAAATTAGTGTCATACCTGTAACATAAGAATAATATTCAGTGGTGCATTTGTAAATTTTGTAACTTTGTATCCCTATTATTAATACTTTGTACTTTTTGAACTAAATAAAATATTTAAGTTCAAAAAATTATTAGATATATAATATTTTAATGAGTGGTATATGGTATGAAAAATATACTTATACAAAAGACCATATTAGTATGTTCAATATAATTTTCTAAAAAAAAATATTGCGACAAAGGGAGTAATTTGGGATGCAGGGAGTAATATCCAAGATCAGAGAGCTCAAAGGTTCTTTCTCTTCAATTATATTTGGGAAATCAAGATCCTATGAATTATCTCTTCTATTTCAAGCTTTAAATATTTATGCTTGCCCCCGGCTCTCCATAATTTAACAGATCATATATAATTCTCATTTCGATCACAAAAGAATATTAATAATGAATATAAATCCCTTCGAGGATATTGGATAAAATATTAAATATAAAATTTATAACAACTTATATTGTTCATTAGTTATAAATACCAAACTTTATTTTTAAAACTTCATTCACACAACTCACACCGAGCTCATCCATCGACATAGAGATACAAAAATAAAATAATTGATATGAGTGTTGTACCAGGTTATTAGGCCAGGCCACTTGTATTGGGCCAACAGTGAAAATCTCGTGGGTATTGTAATTCTTGGTTTTTTGTCTTGAGAGATTATTCTATTGTAAAGGGCTCATATAAGATTTCAAATGTTGTACTCAAACTCCTATGGGTCAATAAATAAACAAACACTTTCATCTTTGAAACAAGAGAGATCCATTTGGCTTGATCGATCCATGTATGCACTAATTTCTTCATTAAAAGTTTAACATTGGGATGTTGATCATTGCTATGCTGATTGTTGGATATTATTCATTTGGTGCTGGTTTTGATTATTGGATTGTGAAAAACTCATGGAGTCAACAATGGGGAGTCAATGGTTACATCTACATCAAAAGAAACACTGACCATGATTTTGGTGTCCGCAACATCAATCGGTTTGCTAACATGAAGCAGCTCGATCGATGGAACTTGGAAGCAATAATGAAGCCCGGCATCATGTGTGCGTGGGCGTGTCTGGGCGCATATAAATGGAAAATTGCACTTGGCACCTAATGCATTCTAATATTATTTTGCAGGGTCCTTTTTACAAATATGTTTTAGGAGGGGAAAAAAAACACAATTGCTTTTAGTGAGAAAGAAAGAATTTTAGGTTCACTACCAATTAACAAATTACTTGTTAATGCATACATACACATACATATATGTATGCGTGTGTGTAAACCTAAAGCTGTGAATTTATGAACATGTGATTGTAAAATTATGAAACTACTGTCACGATGAAGCATAGTTTTGAATATATGAAATCATAATGGATTTTGATTTGTGAATAGATAAATCTATATTTATGAATATTTAAATTTTAAGTTGTAAATTTGTAAACATCGCCAACACAAACTTGTCAAACTCTAAACAAAAATTTCACTACCAATAGATAATTACTTATTGATATGTAATTCTAAAGTTGTGAATGTGAACATCTTGTTGTAAAAATCTAAACTTTTACTCACTGTCTTTTCTCACTAAAGCCAATTGTGTCTTTTCTTTCTAAAACATATTTGTAAAAAGGGCATTTAAATGGCATATCATCACTTGCCTCTGAGTAAATGCCTTATTTTGTTGTGTAACTCTTGCGTGCTTGAAAGCCAAACGCGTTGTGGAATTTTTGCTGCTTGTATTTTTACCAAGACTGATCATGTATAATTATAAGGGGATTTGATTTATAGAAAAACTAAGTCACAATTAAGAACATGTGCGCATATCAACTAAACTCATTGTTTAATTTAAGAGAGCTTAAATGACACTCAAATAATTAACACAAGAACAAATTGATCCTCTCAATTTTAGAGAAGAAGTGTCGTGGTTAAGGGTAGATAAATGTGTGTTGTCAAGCTTGGTAGAGGTCTGGTTTCATGGAAATCAAAGAAGTCTCTAGATCATATGCAGAAGCATGTTTAAAGCATAGAGATTGATTGTCATTTTGTAATAAAATTAATTATTACATCTGGTAAAAAAAATTGTTACATGGATTGATTGACTAAATCATGTTTAATTTCTTCAAATAACGAGCAAGTTGATATTTTAACCAAAGCCGTAGGAAGAAAGGATCATGTGAAAGATCTCTCAGCAAGTGGGGGACCTTAAATTTATTTAATTTAGTCTCAAAAAACTTGAGGGGGAGTGTTGAGGTTAAGGATATATTAATTGAAATCATATTTTGTGTGTACAACTTGTTATTAGTATAAGTACGATGTAGTTTAGTTTTATTCAGTCAATGAGATTTCTCCCATCAGAATGGGTTTATTCTTCACTTAGCCCTACAAGACGTAGAAGAGAGAGAATAAAACAAATCAAAGGAAAGCACATCAGATACAAGTTGGTATATATCCTCAGGAACCAACAAGATAATGCCAAATGCTAGAGAAAAACGTGCTCAATGCTTGATATTTTTTTAGACCACAATATAAAATATTCATAACTAATTCACAATTATAAAAAAAATAGCTAGGTGAGTTAAAAAATTTACATTTGTCCAATTACACTCATTAAATTTACATCTTTTCTTCCATTTTTTTCATAAGTGAAATGCAACATATATATGGAGGATAATGACAATTTAAGAATACAAAATGACAACTTTTTTTTAGGCAAATAACTAAACTCTAAATAAAGTAGTCACTGTCTTTCACGTATTTCATTTTAAATTTTAGATTAGGGGCAAATTTGTCATTGTTGTAAAAAATTAATATGTCAAACAAGTCTTTAGAGACTACAAAATAACTATCACCTTTCACAATATTTTCTTTTTGTTATTTACATATCTCATGTTTTTTCGGTCATTCTCCCCAGTATAAACTTATGGATTATTTATCAAAATGCAATAATGATTATGTTTGAAATAAAAATGTAGTTTTTGTGGCCCAAAACCAAACTGAAGTTAGAGGGCCTTAAAATAATGATATTTAAGAATATTTTGGAACCCTCGACCACTAAGTCGAAGACTTGTCTAAACCTCTATACTGCATTCAAGATGCTCAAACTATGATTTAATTTTATCACACGATAATTTTTACAAGCACTACAACGTGAATTAGCAGCTAGGAACAGGATTAAGATAGTTTAAATCCACACAATCGCAGCCATAATTTGTTAATTAATTATTGCTTTTCAATATCGATCGACTTTTTAATGTCATTTATTTTACTGTGCAAGTTACTTTATTCTACCACTACAACTTGTACAGATGTAAAATTAGGATTTAGTTACAAAGGTGGCGAGGATTTAATCCCACGATTTTGGGATTATGAACCAAATTTTTAACAATTGAACCAATCTTATTTATTGGTACTCTCTCTATTAAAAAATTTAAAGCATTTTTAACCAAATCTCTTCCTCTAATAAAGTAGTTATTTATCTTCAAACTAACCCTATCTTTTCCTATTTATCCCTAATTAATAGAGTGTTTCACTTTAAAATAAATATAAAGTAATTTATTTAATAGAAACACTTTTGAAAAAATGAAAATGAATATACCTTGAAAGA